CGTTCAACGATAGTTATATTGCAAGCAACTGTTTTATCAAGGTTATATAACCAGTCAAAAGATTTTATAACGAATTAATTACTTGAGAAAAAACATATTTTAAAAGATTTTAAGAAAAGTAAATATTTTCACAATTCAAAAATTAATTTACATGATATATGCTATATACGCAGTATTCATTACTACATTTCTACTGCGTGACTAACGCGTTAAGGGCTTTTATGCACATTCTGACCTATTTTTGACAAGATTCGTAGATTTTATGTGCCGTCTGCAATGTGTAAATAACTTTCTTGACGTTCACTTGACAATGTTTTACTTTTAAATACATTTTCAAAAATCGTCATGAAAATTAGCATGAATCTGTAGGCATGCTGCTTTAAATTGAACTGTTAAAACGTTTCCACCAAGGACACACAATTTCAGTAAAATACAAACAAACGTTCATTTAAATTAACACATGCACCCGCCTGTATGATAATGATTACACTGTATCTTACTGGTTCCCATTTTATACACTAACATTCGTTGTTTATTAACCCTCATTTACTGATGTTGCATCTTTTTATCATACGTATTTACGGAATTGTTACAGCTTCCACGGAAGTGCATCATACACCTGTTTGTTTAGATAAAGTTTAACGATGTTAGTTTATAACAATTATATGTTTAACATAGTTAATTAAAACCGTACACCCGTGCGTAAACTCACTTATTCAAATTTTACATGACAGAAATTTTTACTAATTAGCTAGCAGAAAGCATAAAGCTACATTAAAGAAGAGTAATTAATGTAATAAAATATAAATACGTGTAATATGTATGTAAATATTCTGAGGAAAGGCAACGCGTGGCTTTACATATCTTTTATTCAATTGAGTTTTAGAAGAAAAAATATGGCTTATGTGTGATCCTTCGGAAGCATTATTCACAAAAAATACATGAAAATTGCAGACTCGGTTTGATTCAGACTTTACATGACGGATAATGAAAAAGTGCAACATCCCTCTTTGGAAGACGCTTTCACAATATGTTATTCAAATAAATTTGTCATTAACCATTTTTTATCGATGATGTCACACACAGTTAATTGTTCAATAAAGATATAATGGATATAGCGATATCCAATACAGAAAATATATTGGACGGCGTCGTAGTACAATCTTAAATAGCCACTTTTAAGAAATTACTAGTATGGATAATATAATGTTTTACCTTATACATTTGAATGTAAATAAAAGTGATGCATAATTATTTTATCATAAGTTTCCCCCTTGTTATATTTCTTACCGAACCAAGTTTTTGCCGCTAATTTATTACTTGTTTTTACTGAGTAGTCTTTGCTTCTTTTTATTGGCATCAAATTTAACGCACTGATAAGAGAAAATGTTTCAATTCCAAAAAGTGACAGATAATCCATCTAACTTCTGTATGTTATTTTATCTGAAACTTTTTTTCTTCAGTATCAAAATGTCGGGCACAGTTGTTCTTGTCAGAAAGTGTTACAGCAAAATTGTTAACAAGTTCAACATGGCCTCCTATTCTTGTTGAACTTTAAGATTTTGGCTGAAAGAATTGGCTGAAATAATTGGCTTGAAAATGAATTTCTAACAGATTCAAAGGAAGAGAAACAAAGTGGTTTGACCCCAAGACAAAATTAAACCAGCGAACGATGAAAACCTAAACTATTCTCAACTATTTGAGGATTTTTATTTCTTAATATGTTCAAGTTAACTAGCCAATTAATACCGCAAGTTTATCCTGAAATGGTCAACAGTGGGTACGAAAAATTAAAAATTGAAAAAGAAAAATAATTGAACTACCGATTGCAACAGTGTAAGACCTGATCAGAATGTTGGTCTGGTTTGTTCATTTGTGGCAATGCCATTTGTTTTTCGGTTCAAGACGTTTTATAGCTAACATATACAATGAAATCTTTCCAAAGGCTGCATGCTATTGTGTTAAATCCTGGCTTCGTTTTGTCTTTAAATTTACCTTGATTATCCATTATCAAGGAAATGATAATTTCGTTCCAGGATAACTAGATATAACATCAATGGAGTGATAAATGTACCTTCAAGAATTAGAATAGTTAACTCCCAGGAATAGGGTATGTAAGTCTCGTCATGTGACTTGCGAGATTTCACGATATTTTGCACTTCCGGGTACAAACAAATATCAACAACATTGCTTATCTATATCGGGTAATACTTGTATGCCGATGGGAAAGTAAAACTTACATGGAAAAACAAAGGATATGTAGAAATTGACAGAGTGTTTTGTTTTGTAACGAAATGCAAATGGCTTCATCTTGTGAACAAGTATCAATGAAAGACAACTTCGTATAATCTTCAGGTGGGTGTGTCATTTCGAATTCAGTTTATCGCAATAAATGTTGTAATATTTTTCATGTCCATGTAAATCTAATAAATTTGTTATTTGATACAACATCATTGGCATCTGACTTCAGACTGGTGAATTTGATTTCATCAATTTTCTATAGCGCTACCTGATTATCTCTCAGAAGTATATAATGTTCAGAAATTTCGGACAGCGCTATTTTCGGATAAAACGTTTCAATATGATTATCAGTGTGTTTTAGTTGAATATATTTTCTTCTAACTGAAAATTTTATTTATTATTATTATTATCTTTATAAAGCATAAACAGTCAAGCTGTATATATTACCAATTTAAATTGTCATAAAATTTAATGAAATATTTTGCTCGTGTAGATATTTAGACTGAGGAAAGTGGTGAGATGAAAGACGTCAGTATCCGATGTAAATACACATGCATGCTCTGCTGTAAAATCGTTTTGGTAAGAAATATATACTTAAAGCTACTTCAACTACATTAATGAAAAATAAATATTCTTGTATAAGATAATGTTCTCGTTTTTGTAAATAATTACAGTGTAGCTAAATAAACAAACAGTATGGCATATGTAGTTAATTCATGTTAAATACTGATTAAATTATTTTTCTCAAGTAAGTGTGTCATACTTTTTCGTTAAATCATGTTCAGTAAATGGTTAAAAGAACTTAGTCACTATCACAATTTTTTAAAGATCAGTTGTCAAAGCAAATCTACAACAAGAGCTGTCCGTAAGACAGCGCGCTCGACTTTTTTAGTGCTTGCCTATAATACAAAACATTGACAGTTAAGGGCCATAATTCAAATAAAATCTTTGACAGAATTACCTTCTCCTGGACATGTTTGGGAATCATGATTGTAAAAAAGTATTCCACTTTCAAATTAATATCTCAAAAGTTCAGTCAAAAAGTGGATGGTACTAAACTTAAACCAAGGATTTAAGTCGATAAAAGGCCTTAATTTTTAAAACAAATCCTTGACAGAGTTACCTTCTCTTGCGTACAGATGGGGGTAATGATGTGAAATAGCATTAAAAGTTTCAAAGCAATATCTCAAAGGGTTAAGGCAATAAGTGGATTTTACCCATATTCAATGTATTTTCTAAGTCAAAAAGGGGCATAATTCTGTCAAAAACCTTGACAGAGTTATGTCCTCTTGTCTGTTGATGAAGGTCGTGATGGTAAACAAGTATGGTCAGTTTCAAAGCAATACCTCCAATGGTTTTGAAATAAAGTGAGGTGGTACAAAAACTTAACCAAGCTCAATACACTTTCTAAGTCAAAAAAAGGGCCATAATTCTGTCAAAAACCTTGACAGAGTTATGTACTCTTGTCTGTAGATGGAGGTTATGATGGTGAACAAGTATGGTAAGTTTCAAAGCCATACTTGTAATACTTCTGAAATAAAGTGGGGTGGTACGAAAAACTTAACCAAGGTGTGACGCCAACGCTAACGCCGACGCCGACGCCGGGGCGAGTAGGATAGCTCCCCTTTTCATAGAAAAGTCGAGCTAAAAATAGGACACCAAGAAGTGTTTCTTCCTTTTCAACATTATTTTCTATTCATGCCAATATGAAAATGATTGAATTGACCAATTATTATTGCTTTTAACTCATGATAAATTTTCTTAATATGCAGGTATGTGATTTCATGGTTGGATCTTGAGTACTTGGCATGGCTCTTGATTTATTTTGGATTGTTCACCATCAGATTAGAAACCAAATAGTGATACCACCTGACATAGTTAAAAGGAAATGTCCATACACAGTCTTGGAGTACAAAGTGGTAGAGACATGGCAGTCCATTACATATTTTGACTGAATTAAAGCTTCTTAAAGCTCCATGTCTTGTGTAAACTGTCTGACTGAATGTTTGTATTCCAATAAAAACTAAGGTTGAAGACACTTCAAAGATATATGTCAGTGTAAAATGTTAAACAAAATATCTGTCTTTGTTAGAAATAAATAACCTGTCTTTGTTAGAAATAAATAACCTGTCATTTGTAACTTTGTATTAACTTAATTATTCAAAGATAATTTATCTTCTGCAAATGGCTGTCCAAAACAGTTTCAACCAAGCATCATGTAGTTTCAAAACAGTTAAGATAAAATTGTTTTAAACAGACTCAGAAGGTGACAAGTATGGTAAAAAGATAAATGATCTGCATTAAAATGTTTCTATCTTGATTGAGTTTCATTTCATACTATCACCATGATCACTGCAATTGTAAAAGTTATGTAATCTATAACCATCATTTAAATATCATAAAAATCATCTCAAAGAAAAACTTGTGTCTGAGGCAAGATGTGTAAATTTCCTTTCAGTAATAGCTTGTCACTGCTCTTAGAAAAGCCATGATATGCATTGTACATGACAGGTAGTAATACCAGAGTAAACAATATTAATGCAATTCATCTGTGTTGAGTATTCTGTAGCAAAACACAACATTGTAGCTTGCTAGCCCTTGAAAGCCCAAGACTAGTCTGTCTCTTAATCACAAAATTGGAGAAGACTGGCAATTCTGCATTCCTTGAAAGATTTTAGTGACAGAGGGACAGTTATTACATACCATATACTTCTTTGTGTTTCAAATTACCTGTTTTATAATGTATTGAACCTGTTGAAATTTGACCAAAAGTGAATCATCTATACAAAACAAGCAACACTTAGGGTTTGCACTTGATACAAAACAATTACATCACTGGTACATTAATATACCCATTGGGATGTTTCAAAATTGTCAATGTTTTTTTAAAAAAAAAAAACACACAATGAATGCTTTTAACTTTTGTCCATGTGTAAATGTAGTCATTGAAGAGCTGTCAAGAACTTTTCATCAATATCATTTAGATAGTGTCTGTTTCGATTTCAGGACAGACAAAATTCAAATGACATGCATAGTATTTACTTTAGTCAATGCTTGCATATTCAAGCAATCTAACCATTGCTTAAAGTACACAGTGACACTTATTTTGCAGATGAACCATTATGATCAAGCACTGCTATAAATATATGCCAAATAGTAGAAACAAAAAAAAACAGTTCATAAGTTTGATAAACTTTTATTTTTACACACTTTATAGTGCACTGCTTTGCAAATATATCACACTGATATTCCAGTGGAAGAAAAACTTCAGGAAAGCACTTGAAACTATTATTAATTATTTGGACAATGTACCTTTACACTGTGAAAGTCTACTTATACAAGAATAAGAATGTTTCCTTTTACAAATGTAAAGAGTTTGAAAATTACCATAATTAACATGAACAAATTATCATAGAGTTATAAAACATATTCTAGTTGAAAAATGGTCAGCTTGATATCAAAGCTTTGAATGAAAATTTGTGAGCTTATCAATGATTACCTCACAATATTAGTATGTAGATGATATATAATAGTTTTGCTATTTCTTTTTCATCTTTACTTCATTATCATTTAATGTCCATAATGACATATGACTATACTGTGATTCCATGAAAATCCTTATCTCTGATGTGTTTTCTACTTTGGTATTTATAGAACATCTAGTTTTAATACTTAAAACTGCAATGAAATGTGGATATTTTACTCTGTTTCTATCACTGTGACATTAACAAGATAACTACATTATGGAATCATAGTGTCAAATACCATAAAATCATACTCTTTTACATCAGTGGCTTATATTAAACTAATAGTTCAATGTAACTGTGTGTTCTCTGATATCATTCTCAAATTAAGGAACTGGAAGATGGTAGTTGCAATAAAGGTCTTCATGGACAAAGTCCCTTCATCTTTTTTCTTTTTATCTGCAGAATGAAAAATCAATAAACATGTTAGACCTGAATATATTTCACTGAGTAAAACACTAGAAATGATATTTACATTAAACTTAATAAGCTTGACATGATTGACAGAAAATTTCATATTTGACGTAAATAAACATTAAAGATAAACAACAACACATACATGTAATATATAACAGTCAAAAATTTTGATCTTCTTCAATGTGAAACATGACTGTTTTTTCATGTTTTATTTACTTATCATAATCATGCAGTGAAATCCAAAAAATATTAAAATATTTTGATAATTGTTTATCTTTCTGATCTCAACTAAAAATTATCAATTATTTTACATGTATTTACCTTTGATGTATAGATATTTCAGGATCATAGGCAGTGTAAACAGTTGATTAATGGTCCATAGTGAAGAACTGTATATTCTATACATGTACTTGTCAATATACCTCCCTGTCTACACATCTGAAATGGTTTTATTCAAATATTATATTTTTTTTAATTCAATCATAATTTGCTAGGTACCATATTAACATGTATATATAATTGAAAAAGGAAGAGAATAAAAAAATAAGTGTTTACTGTTAGTGCCTAAAATGATACTATTCTCCATAGTTAGAAATGGAACAATACTATTAAACTTTGCATGCATCTATGATCTATCCATTCTAATTATTTAATAATCAAAACTCTTACTTGGGACCTGGGTTTATTTTACTAATGTAAGTAATTGAAATCTTGATAAAATGGAAGGGATGAAATATCCGAATTACTGTTCAATGTCCGAATTTTGTATAACTTTTTATATACACTAGAATTAAAGTGTTTCTCAATTGTTTATTTCAATAAGTTAAAATGGTTTGAATAAATTTCTCACATCAGTAGTTTTAAAACAATACTAAAAGCTAAACAACTAGAATTCACTACCTTGACAAAACATCCGAAAAAATTGTCACTATCCGAAAATAAACTAGTTTTATTTAACTTTATAAATCCCTCGTTTTTCTGTCAGATAATTGACCTACCTGCATTTTTTGACCAGTGTTTTCCATTCCTTCAAATCTGAAGCGGACCGAAACAAATTTAACTTCTATATCTCTCGAGTTCTTCGGGTTACCTATATGCGTAACGGTAAATAAGTCTGCCGATGTACCCGGAAGTGGTAAATCGAAAGTGAAAGTAAACGAGACTTACGGGCCCTATTAAGTAATTAAGGAATTAAACAAATAATGTAGACTTCCTGTAATAAAATGAGAATTCGTAAGCAAATTCAATGCTGAATGATGCATCTTTCTTTGCATTACAATACCTATTACCTGTGCATTTTTTTTTTGAAAACTTTTCATCACCTGTTTTGTAAGCAGCTCTTTGCATTTCAAGTGCAGTTTATCATTCTAGGTTATATAACTAAACCATTTTCATTACAAAAATTAACGTGTTGTATGTAAATAAATATTTTCAAGTATTGCATGTTTTTATAACATAAATTTTCATTGCATATTCTTGACATAAATAACTCAGAAACAGGGGCAGATAACTTAACCAGTAAGACGGTAGTAGGATGATTATCCATTCTATCATAAATGTGTTCAAATATTATTCTCATGTCCACTAGTTCGAATTTTCCTTCTTCGGCAATGTAAAACTTAAGAAACTAAGGCAATGTCTTTAAGAATTAACTAATGCATAAGCCGGTTCCGGGGGATGAGAGATGAACATTCAATTCGAACAAGAGAACATGTGAATATTTATTAGTGTCGTCTGCTGTAGTATGAGACATTATTATACGTGCTAAATAAGTAGAATTTCGGTAAGGTATTTGACATGTACCACTTCCGTTCATACACAAATGTCGATCAAACTGAGCTATTTAATGTCTCTATTACTTTAAAGGGGGAGGGGGTAGGCGTATATAGGTTTTGCATTGTCCGTCCGATCCGCTGTCCTGCTATCAATGTGTTCGTCAATAGATTGACAGTTGAATATAGGAGCATCCCTGTCCTATAGACACATTTCTAGTTCCATTAAATCATTACAATTTTCGTTTTATTTATTCAAGCGTTTTCATGAATAAGAAATAAATATTTCATTGAAATAAAGTAAACCTAGCTATGCAAGTTGAGTATTTTTTTTTAGGTGTTACCTATCTAGATTTCCCTCTGATATTTTCTATTCTAACAATTTAATGTTTAAATTTCTGTTGCAAAAAATACGTCTGATTCTGAACAGTTTACTAAATATTCAAAATAGCTTTAATATCTTCCTATTGACTTTGATGCAAAGTAATTAAACACATCAACATGCATTTCAAACATCAGTTTTTTGTCGGCTGCTGATACGTTGCAGACGATAAACTTTCATCGGAGTCTGATGTTGAATTCCTAGAAAATATGAATTGTACAATTTTGTGTGCTTTTAGAAATCGGTTTGTATAGGGTGTGTATACATGTATTACGTGTTAAAATTCCGCTTTAATTATTTAAACATTAATTGAGTACTTGCATTGAAAATATACAAGTCCTCCCAAATTTTCAATTTGCTAGGATTGGTTTTAAAGTCATAACGATACAGCCGAAGGACATCGAAACAAAATTTGTGTTCAAAAATCTGAAAGTATCACCAGAGAAAGTATCAAATCACAAAAAATCCAATCTTACACAACTTTGCTGTTATAACGCTTCATAATCCAAGATGGCGTTCAATATGGCCGCCGATTATATGCAGAACTGATATATATCGTATTATGGTAGATTTTGTAGCAAAGATAATGCAGATTTCGATTTAAATACATGTAGGTGTAAAAGCATTTCAGAATTGTTAAAAAAAATGAAAATCATAGTTTTTATGTCATATTTTTTACTCCTTTTTTCTAAAAATAAAAGAAAAGATGGCATTCAATTCATGTTTTTTTTTTATAAAAGTGTTTTCGAAATCTAACAAAAAGCAATTTAGAAACGTTTCTTTACTCAAATACCTCAATTCCATATGCCTTATAGAAGATATACAACATAGAGTTATTGTTAATGAGTTGCAACGACAATAAAACGGTGTTACATTGGTATAAACAGTTCTGTTGTTTATTATCTTTGGAAAATATGTAGAAACAAACAAACAAGAAGATAAGAAACTCATTATACAATAATATACAATATTAAAACGTCATTGTGCATGTTGGCAAAAACAAAGTTGCAGTTAAGTCCACGGAAATACAGAAATGCATTCAAAGAATTTTTTATCAAGCAAACAGCAAAAGATAAAGACAAAACACATTGTACCAAAGGGTGTTTATTTTTGTAAAACTAATACGAAAATTGAGAGAAAATAAGATACACCGATAAGTTTAGATAAAAAGAGGTTTGATTGTTTAGGTGATTATAATGCTTTTATACTTCTATCTTTTGATGGTTTAGTAAAGTTAAATACATATCATATTTCATCATAAAAGAATAGCTTGAAACATATGTTATCTCAAATTTGTACAGATTTTATTGAGAACACATTCTTTGGAAATTCTATATAGATTCTATATTGAGTCGGATAGATTTTTGTGTTAATCTAGGAAGAAAAATGAAAAGGTTGATGGTTTGTAGATAAAATGACCAAGAAAATGCTATTATTTTCAGATGACATAAAATCTTAAATTCTGTACAGAGATACAATTGCATTATGTATCCGAGTTTTGAAAATTATTCAAGACTTTGAAGTTTTTATACAGTAGCGTGTAGCTCTACAAAGAATAAAAAAATGTAAAATGCATTGAATTTGAATTTACGGTACATAAGTATATATAGAAGTTGTATTTTTTTCTTGTCTTCGGCTGTCATTTATTCCAATCATTTAAACATTTGGATTGAGTTTTTCTTAAACCGGTGCTAGGGGGTATTAGTGATGAAATCTGTGGTCCCGAACCTCTAGAAAAAAGCATGAGCACAAAGATGAAGTATGAAACAGCGTTGTGCAGCTAACACCTGTCAAACAACACTAAAACACTTGCCTGAAAAAGTGAATCCTTTCTCTAAAACGAAACAAGAACGCATAGTTGAAAAACTCGGGTATGATTTCAATTGCGTTCACATAGAATAAAGCATTTCAAAATAATGGAAACATAACACTTATCATTTTATATTTCATGACATGGAGAAAACGACATTTTCAAGAGTGTTAAATTATAGATATTGGTATCATTGCATTTTAAGTGATGTGATTAAGTTTTTAATTTTTATCAACAATGTTTTTTGGATGAAGCATCGTATTTGATCACATTATGCTTAACTTTTTAATACAACTACTGATATCACAATCACTAGATATAAACTTCTGGGGCGTCCATGGCTGAGTGGTTAAGATCGTTGAATTCAAACCACTTGCCCCTTACCGCTGTGGGTTCGAATCCAGAGAGGCATTTGGATTCTTTCATGTGAGGAATCTATCCAGCTAGGTTACGAACGTCGGTTGTTCTACTCAGGTGCTCTTTTGTGCACTTGTAAAGCTGGGAAGTCGCCATATGATTTTTTTTCTGTGTTGGTGCGATGTAAAACCAAAACCAAAAATATATATAAACTTCCAAATATGGATTTTTAAAGTACATACTTGTTGAGGATTTTATTATGATCACATAGGAACGGAATCTGCTAAACTTCTGTTTAAGTACTGTCAAGTTATAAAGAATGTTAAGATGACCACTTTGTTATATATCTGCACAAGTTACTGTTTTTGACACAAAAATGTAAACACACGTGCCGAATATAGTCTGCATTGGTCGTATGGTTTGAATCTGTTGCCACCAGTTTTGATGCGATGAGGAATAGTTTTTACTCGGACTTGATACACTTAGAGAAATAGAACTATTAATAACAGTTAATTCTTACAGAAAGAATTTTATCTTGATTCCTTTTATAGTTACAGTGAGCGTTTTATCCTTTTTAGCTCACCTGAGCATGCTCAGGGTGAGCTTTTAGGATCGATGATTGTCCGTCGTTCGTCGTCCGTCCGTCGTCCGTCCGTTCACATTTTGTTGATAACACTCTAGCGGTCGCATTTTTGCCTCAATCATCATGAAACTTGGTCAGGATGCTTATCTAGTTGATGGCTCGGATGAGTTCGAATATGGGTCATCTCGGATGAAAAACTAGGTCACAACAAGAGCTAAAAATAGAAAAACCTTGTTAACACTCTAGAGGTCACATTTTTGCCTCAATAATCATCAAACTTGGTCAGGATGTTTGTCTAGGTGATAGCTCGGATGAGTTCGAACATGGGTCATCTCGGATGAAAAGTAGGTCACCGGAGCTAAAAATAGAAAAACCTTGTTAACACTCCAGCGGTCACATTTTTGCCTCAATTATCATCAAACTTCGTCAAGATGCTTATCTAGTTGATAGCTAGGATGAGTTCGAACATGGGTCATCTCGGATGAAAAACTAGGTCACAAGAGCTAACAATAGAAAAACCTTGTTAACACTCTAGCAGTCACAATTTTGCCTCAATCATCACCAAACTTGGTCAGGATGTTTGTCTAGGTGATAGCTTGGATGAGTTTGAACATGGATCATCTCGGATGAAAAAGTAGGTCACCGGAGCTAAAAATAGAAAAACCTTGTTAACACTCTATCGGTCACATTTTGGCATCAATCATCATCAAACTTTGTCAGGAAGCTTGTCTAGGTGATAGCTCGGATGAGTTCGAACATGGGTCATCTCTGATGAAAAAGTAGGTCACTGGAGCTAAAAATAGAAAAACCTTGTTAACACTCTAGCTGTCACATTTTTGCATCAATCATCATCAAACTTGGTCAAGATGCTTGTCTAGGTGATAGCTTGCATGAGTTCAAACACGGGTCATCTCAGATGAAAAACTAGGTCACCGGAGCTAAAAATAGAAAAACCTTGTTAACACTCCAGCGGTCACATTTTTGCCTCAATCATCATCAAACTTGGTCAGGATGCTTATCTATTTGATAGCTCGGATGAGTTCGAACATGGATCATCTCGGATGAAAAACTAGGTCACAAGAGCTAAAAATAGAAAAACATTGTTAACACTCTAGCGGTCACAATTTTGCCTCAATCATCATCAAACTTGGTCAGGATGTTTGTCTAGTTGATAGCTTGGATGAGTTCGAACATTGGTCATCTCGGATAAAAACTAAGTCACAGGAGCTAAAAATAGAAAAATCTTGTTAACACTCTAGTGGCTAC